CCAGCCTAGGGGGTTCCCCCTCCCCAGACTTGACCCCCCCCCCACCACCAGTCTTCTCCTGAGTCCTGCCTCCGCTCACTGCCCCCTTGCTGCAGCAGCGGCCGCCAGCCCTGCAAAGAGATCCGAGGTGGGAGCAGAGCAAATAAAGCAGCACACGGCTCCGAGTTATTGTTTTCTCCCCCGTCTAAAAGTTGCTTTGCAGTTCCTGCCAGTGGTGGTGGCAGGCTGCGGGGAAAGAAGGAACTTGGCACCTGCCTAATCCATTCAGCGACTCCTAGATATTTGCAAATGGGAAATGGGGCTGTCCATAAATAGAGTCAGCAAATATCCTTTTTCATTTTCCTTTTGGCCGCACCCACTCTCGTGGCCCCTGGATGTGCTAATAATTAAAACCAACATAACAGTCTGGGGATACCACTGCTCAGAGACACTCAGGAACATTAAGCCAGATTAACTAAAGGCACGAATTTAAAGTGCGTTAGTTAACGTTCATCAGCCCCCTGTGTGGATGCTCTTATTCAGAAGTAAAGAAGCCTTAGTTTCTTTTAGCTTAATCCCTTTTAAAGGAATAAATTAAGCATATCATGTGCCTCAGTCCATCCCTATTTATCAAAGCACTTATGTGCTTTGCTGAATCAGCGCGTAGCTCTGGTGGGCCACCAGTGATGACAATGTCCCAAAGAAAGACATAGTTTGAGGAACTATAATAAATAAATGAGGAAACTGCGGAGGCAGCAAAACCAGAGGTGGGAGGAATAGAGGCTAGCGCCTCTGCAGTGGAAATATAGTGGGCAGGGGAGCGGGCTGGGCTGATCTATGTTTCTGCCCCTCTGTCACTGCCCATAATCTGCGCACAGTTGGTGCAAGGTGGGGTGGAGGCAGGAGCAGGACCCAGAGGGGCAGGACTGGTCATCACATCTGGGATGGGGATGGGGAGCATGTAGGACACACACAAACAGAGTCTCTTTAATGCCCCTCACTGAGCACCACCCCTTTCCCCCTCCTATCCCCGACACCCCAACATTCCCCTCTGCTCCTACCACCCCTGCTCCCCATCTAGAGCACCACCCTGCATCCACAACAAGCTTCCACTGGCACTGGAACTGTGCATTTCTGGGCCTATCCTACACTATCGTCTATGATGCCATAAAATATAGGCATGAACTATAAATATCAGCCAGTCTGACAAGATTTGTCATGCACAGCTGCAACGTTTCACCCAGGAATATCACTGGTTAACTTTTTTGTAATTCTCAAGTATGATTTACAAAATTTACACCCTCTAGTATGTTTGATGCCAAAGGCCACAAGTAATATGAGATGGGCCAAAACCACAATTTGAAGTCCAACCAATTTCAAATTTCAGGAGGAGATTTTGATTCAATTTCCCAGGTGTGAAACTGTCCCTGCTGTTTTGGTTCTGGGTTGGATCCAAAACTAAAAGTATATGTTCCAGCTCCAATTCACATGTGACCGAAATCTCACAAGAACTTCCATTTTCATGAGATTTTGGCACAGAACTGAAATCTTGTGAGAACTGCTGGACTTCAACTAGGTTGCACTCTTCATGAGTGTAGACTTCTCATTAAATCAGCTGAATTGATGAGTTTTCCATCATACAGGGGCAAAATCTCACAAGAATAGTTTGCAAGTTTGCAGTAACATTAGACCCTCAAACTCGAGCTATAACTCCCAAACCACATTGGGGTGCAGAAACAGGAAAGAAGATCTACTACATTGTTAATGAAGAAGAAGCCAGGATGCCTGAGCAGTGGTTGGGACAATGTCGAAAACTCAGCCAAGACCACCATGGTTCACCTGTTTTTATTATGAATGATTTGCACAACTCAGAATGCTGCCAAACTATTAAAAAGGAAGAAGTCCTTCTTTCTTGCTCAGTTTCACAGGAATGGCACAGCAGGGGAGGGGTGAATTTCCACTTAGCAATGACAAATGTGTATTTGTTTGATAGAAGTTTCACCAATTTCTTATCTTAATTATTGACCAGTCCCCACAATCATCTAGAATCAGCCTGGATTTATTCATTTGCCATGGTATGTTATAGATGCTTTTCAAAGCCTTTAGGAGGATAGTCCTTGCTTTGAGGAGATTCCACTCTAAGCTTGTAGTTGGAGCCAAAGAAGTTCTGATGAACAGAACTGTATCTTTCTTTTCAGAAATCTTTTCCATTTCACCTACCCTTTTAATTTGCGACACTCTAAGACCCTGCTGTTATAATGGCCTGCTCTCCAAGAAGGAGGGCTTGATGTGGCTCTTCCATGACTGGTCGTCACAATTCTGAGCTTCACGTCTAGAAAGGCACTCTTGCACCTCCCATATCACCCAATGTGTGTTTTGCCCAACCTTGGAGACTGTGCTAGAAGACATGTTACTGCACAACCTCATTATGTTATGAAATTGATACATTATTTTTTAAGGCAGAATATCAGTAGCATTTACTAAACAAGGTTGTTGAGAAAGGGCACATATACACCAGCACTGTAGCCTTAATTCTCCAATAAGGCAGCTGCAAAGGAGGGGGTGGGTTGCTGAGGACCCCAAATAGTTTATTTTTTCAGTATTAGAATGTCTCTAACTCTACAGCAATTTACCGTGAAAAGCTCTATGATATTAGCTGAGCTATATTTAAAAACAACGTATGTTGATTATAAAGGAGTCTATTGAAGTGGGCCTATTTGAAATTTAAAATAGTCAAGGCCAATTTTTCTTCAAACAAATATGAAACTGTTAGATACAATCTCTCACTAATCTGCTCCATATAAGGGGCTGATATTTTATTAGCTGCTGACATACAATATAATAGAAATTAAGTTCAAGGAGACAAATCAGATTGAAAAAGAAGAACCTAATCAGCCTCTTCCCTTGGATTTGGCTGAAACTCTCAGTACTTTAATTAGAACAGTCAGCAGAAAACATGTTTCTATAAATAGGGAAGTAACATTTAAAAGAATGCAGATAGCTTGGAACAATATGAAGAAAACAGCATGAGACAGTGTGGGCATGCAACTGTTTAGCTGAACTAGGCATTTTATCAGAATAAGGAAAAATTACAGTATATTTTGCAGTCTTAATTTGGAAAGAGAAAGGCTAAAGCATTAAGAACCAATAAATAGAGTACTGAAGAATTCTGCTGTTTTTATGGGGGAAAACAGTATCAGGTGAATGTGTGCCCCCTCCCAACCTCTTTCCTCTCCACTCGTTGTAGCTGCATTCACTATTTTAATTCAACTTTGCCACCATAGAAATTAGAGAAGAAAGGTATCTGGGGTTACCAAACCCCGCCACATAGCATAGGAAGATTATCCCTATCTATCCCCATATTTATATGGCTCCCATTATGTTAAAATCAGAGTATCTCCCATGTCTTTAAAAATAGGAATAACCTCTCTTCTTCCTTCTTTCATAATCTGTTGGAGAAGTAGCTTGATCAGTTGATAGGCTTCTTGTTTATTTTTCTGTGGGTGTGGTTGTGTGTGTGTGTGTGAGAAAAATTTATTCAGGAAAAAATAAGTCACAATGAGTTTTGCATTCCTTCTGAACAGGATATGATTTCATTTCAGGTGCCTTTGTGCAAGCAAAATTTCACCTGTGTGTGAAATTTCATAAAATGTGGTTTTCACATAGAAAAAAGCTAAAATTCAAATTGTGACAGTATTAAAGTTTAAAATTTTGAAACCTTGATGCCTTTCCCCCCAGAGGATTGCTGAGTGAAGGAGCCATTTTTTAAGCAAACACTCCTCAAAATGTCAGACTTTCATGTATCTGGACAATTTGAATGAAATGATGAATTGCAGACACTTTTTTCCCTTAGATGTATTAACTTACTCTCCCACACCTAGCAATGCATGATCCATCCCTTCTGCCTCCCTATTGACATAATTATTTCAACAGAATAATGGTCAGAATATAAGTAAAGACAAGGCTCTAAAGTGTGAGAAATTGATAGTGTCCTGGATTTTG